TTTTTACTTACACAAAGTAGATTTATGATAATCTAAGGGACATATTGATTATACTGTGTATCTTAGATAGAAATGGTGTTTCTTGAAATTACCTATCTTTGGTGGTACTGAGAATGGTACAGTTAGTAGCCAAGTCCAAGAGTGGTGTAGACTTCAGGAAAACTGGATTAAAAAAAGTTTTCCATTGTCTCTCCTATCAGATAGACGCGAGAGTGAAAACAACTCTGAGAATGAACCTGAATTGTTTTTCTATGGTCCTGCTTAGTGATCTTTGGGTTGTAATGGAATTTTTCTTCATCCAAACTCTGATGTTGTGATTTGCTGGATTTACCTAAATTGTGTTTCCTCTTCCATTAGCCCTGTCTGATCTGGAGCTTGTGGCCCAATCAATTATCTTCATTTTTGCTGGCTATGAGACCACTAGTAGTGCTCTTTCCTTCATATTGTATGAACTGGCCACCCATCCTGATGTCCAGACCAAACTGCAGCAGGAGATTGATGCAGCTTTGCCCAATAAGGTGAGAATATGGTATCTGGGAGGGAGGAGAGAGGTGGAGCCTCAACAAGACTACCTCCTTTTCACTTCCTAGGAGGCTTTGGCAAAAATATAGTCACTGATTCTTTTTACCAGCTCTAATTTGGAAAGAATATAAAGAGACAAATGAAGAAGAAAATAGCATTTGGGGGAAAATGTTATTCCCAAAACTACAAGGAATTTTGAAAAGAGTGAAATTTCAGTTGTACCCATTACCAGTTACCATGATGATACCTAGGAAGTGTAAGCATGTGTCACTCAAGTGTCCAGATCATTATCTCTGCTGATCTGTGGCATGAGCTCCTGCCTAGCTGTCTGCTGAGTGAGCCTGGGCTTTGTGGGCAGGCCGATTCTGCTCTGCTCCACACATCTTCACACTCTAGTCATATATTAGAGAGAGGCAGCCAGGGGATGAGCCAGGTTTTCTGGCTCCTGAGCCAAACTCTTTACTTCTACCTGTGTCCTCTCCAGTGACACACAGGCATTAGTTACATGTAGTGCCTGCTGTCCTCACACCTCTCCCTAAACGGGGAGTCTATTGGATATGAAGACACCTGGTCTCTGGGGCTGGCATGCCTGGTTTGGCAATGAAGTGGGCACAAAGCCTCTTCTTCGGAGCTCACAATGAAGCCATGGAGAACAACCAGGAGACTGGTCGAGCAACAGAGGGTGGGGATTAGAGTGGCCTCTTGTCCTTCTTAGAATGTTCTCTCAAACTGAAATTGTGTGACATGGTGCCATCCAAACTTAGCCTTCTTTTGGTCGTATTAGGGTGGAAGTTACCAGTTTCTCCCTACATTTTTACATGATGTAGTGTTATCTCTATGAATTTATATATATAATCTTCAAAGCAGGATTATTCAACTATAAACTGATGTAGAGAGGTTATTTCCTTTTTTATATGTTCTATTTACTTGAAATAGATGCATGAGTTTTCTAGTGAAAGGTGACAGTGACTTTCACATATTTTGCTTGAGTGTAATTGTCATTTTCTCTTTTTGGTGCCATTAGTCACTTTTCCTCACATTATAATAAGTAGTACATGATGCTGTTGAGGACATTACAAACTGAATTTGGGATTGTCCCAAAGGTCACTTATGGACATAATTACCCTACACTTCTCAATTGGCCATGGATATTGTTGTCAAATGGGCATGATTGTTATTAGAATACTTAGACAATTGTAAGCACTACTCTCCTTCACCATTCTGAGTATATTTGGGGATCTTCTATCACTTTAATAATACAGCATAGATTGAGTTTAACGTTAGTTTCAAACCTTAATTCCCCCAAATTTCTTTTATTCCCTTCAGGCACCTGTTACCTATAATACCCTGATGCAGATGGAGTACCTGGACATGGTGGTAAATGAAACTCTCAGGTTGTACCCAATTGGTGCCAGACTTGTCAGAATCTGTAAGAAAGATATTAAAATCAATGGAGTATTCATTAGGAAGGGGACACTGGTGATGATACCAATCTTTGTTCTTCATCGCGACCCAAAGTATTGGCCAGAGCCTGAGGAGTTCCTCCCTGAAAGGTACAGGGACCCGGGGAAAGGGAACAAACTGGGCTAGGCTGATTCAAGCATATCCTTGTATCTATGAGCATAGGTGACATACAGGTAACTGTGCAATCATTTTCATGTATGTCTTTTTATTTTAAGCTGTTTTCATGTTACAAACATGACATCTACTTGCAAAATGGTATAAATTTGTGACAAAAAACAAAAAGGATGCTATATCCATCAAGTATCTCAAATTCTTTAAATAATCTCAAGTTTATAATGTGATTATGTTCTCATAAACGTATTTCTGTATAAATATACTTTTTTTTGCAAAACTAGGTTGTATCATATTTATTTGATTTGAAAAAATGTTTAACAATAAGCTGTAAATTTTTCATTATCACTTGATGACACTCTGTATGTACAGGTTTTCATCTGTGATTTCAACTAAATATAAACATTTTTCTTGCCATTCTCCTATAAAATGTCTAATATAATAAGTGTTTGTAGAGTATGTACATTTCATTAGTTATTATATGCAATCCAGAGATGATTTAAAATATATGTCAGTATGTACTTAGGGTATACAAATATTTCTCCATTATTTTTATAAGAGACATCATCACCCAAAAATTTATAGTGGCCAGGTGCTGAAACTAATTCTCCTCAGATATAGCACCATGACTGTGTATGTGTGTATGCATGTGTGTGTGTGTGTGTGTGTGTGTGTGTGTGTGTGTTT